AGCAGTATAAGACAACTAACCTAGCAAAAAAAGAAAACTAACCTAGCACAGATATGTAACCTAGCAGTGAAAGAAAACTATACTAGCAGTTACAGACAACTAACCTAGCAATAAAAGAGAACTAACCTAGCAGTATAAGACAACTAACCTAGCAAAAAAAGAAAACTAACCTAGCAGAGATATGTAACCTAGCACTGAAAGAAAACTATACTAGCAGTTACAGACAACTAACCTAGCAAAAAAGAGAACTAACCTAGCAGAGATATGAAACCTAGCAAAGAAAGACAACTATCCTAGCAGTATAAGACAACTAACCTAGCAATAAAAGAGAACTAACCTAGCAGTATAAGACAACCTAGCAACAGAAGAGAAACAACAACATAATAAAAAATGCTCTCCCTTCTCTCTTCTCTCTCTCTAGAATCAACCCGCGTTCATCTTGCCACCTCCTGCCACCACCACCGTTTGGCCTCCACTGCCTCCTATTAGTTTGTTCGCCGGCCCGCCGCCACGGGCGGCGAGCCAATCACCAAACACGACCGCTCCTTTTCCATTAAAGACACATGGCGTCCTTGCAACACCTAAAACCATCGGATCTTGAATCGCTCATAGCCGCTGAAGTTAAGAAAGCCTTGTCTTTCGCCTTGCAACCTCAGACTCACAGCTTGGAGGAAGGAGAATTACCGTCTTCTCCGGCGAAAGACTTCGCTTATTTGGCCCTTCTCAACGCCGCGAAATCTCCTGCTCCGGAGTCTTCTCAAGCTACCGTTAATCTTGATATGGGTATCATCGGGTCCACAGTAGCGGAAAATTGTCCGCCGATCATATTCGGGGCATCCAGGTCGTCGATGGAGGGTCACTTGCCGGAAAAGGCGATAGCAACAGACTCTCTTGCCACAGTTCACAGTGGCCCAAATCATCGACCCCCAACCAACGATTCAAGCGGGGAATTGGTCCACTTTGATTCACTCCCTGCGATTATCCGACCGGATTATTCACTTCCGCCGGTCATAGATCCAATTGTGCAGTCCAATTGTCTGGGTGTCGGCGGCGTCAAGGTGAGTTCTCTCCCTTCCCCTAACCTGCATCTCACAGGCCACGTGGCTCCAATTCAACCAAACTACCCATTACCTCTTAATAGGCCCACGTATTTTGGGCCTTCGCCTTATTTAGCCCAATCCACCTATATTTCTTCCCCTAACCCAATGAACTCACAACAATTCCCACAACAATCTAATTCTTGTGGGCTCTCTTTGGACCTAATTTCCAATCAACCCACTACAACTTCCAATTCCCACTCCCAGACCGCAACAATTAAGCCCACACTACCCACAGCTGCCAAACCTGTTCAGCAAACAAAAAACCTACAGCACGACCAACTGAAACGCGACCACCAGACCATCGTCGGTTCCGAAAGTACCACGACCATTGCGGCCTCTCCGCTGGCCGGTGCGGCCCCTTCGCCGGTGACAATCCTTCAGAATAAAAATTGACCTAACCTCACGGGACCGCAAACAACAAAATCCCTCACTATAATTCCAGCTGAAACCGAGAGTCCACCGGATAGCGCTGACCAACTGCCAAGCTCCGGCAGCGGCGCCGGCAAAACAACTGGATCCCAACATGCCGGTGGCTCGAATGGACCATCTCCGAACGAAACATCCACAATGCCCACCTCCACGGTCAATCCTCATGCACCCGGGCCAAAACCGGGCACCTCCACGGGCCCGGTTTCATTTCGGGAGGCCGTTACGGGAAAGAAAAATGGAAGCTCGAGCTCCCAAAACCCAACACCGAAAGATTATCCATTCGACGGGAATTACGAACATGCTTGTGGTACCATCACTCGCTCGGAGGGGAACAAAGTGAAGGCCCGTTTCACTGACGCCGAATCTGGCGACCTGTCAGGTAAACTAGATAACACCCTGGTATTTAAGTTTTCTTATGCTATCCCCGCCCCTCGAGATATATCTGCTGGATTAAGGAAATTGGGTTTTAAGGGTAGTGTATCATCGAAGTGGTTCAACTTTAACCATCTTCTTGTGACCTTTCACCTCATTGAGGATTATAATGAGGTCTGGCTTAAGACCTTGATTCATCTATGTGGATGCCCAGCTAGGGTATTCAAATACTATGTCGGGTTTAACCCAAAGACGGAGGCGCCGATTGTCCCTGTTTGGTGCCGCCTTCCGGGCCTCCCACCCCACCTCTACGACCGTGCTGCCATCACTACACTTGCTAAGTGTATTGGGCAGCCGATTCGTATTGACGCCCACACGGCCCTTCAGACGAGGGTTAGCGTGGCGCGTTTTTGTGTCGAGATAGATCTCAGAACGGAGCTCGTTCATGAGATCGAGATTGAGCAGGGCTCCGAGTCCTTTGTTCAGCGGGTGATCTACGAGAAGATCCCCGCTTTCTGTACTGCGTGCAGACATGTTGGTCATATTGCGGCCGACTGCTATATTAGTGGCAATAAGCCACGTCCCTCTCTGCCACCGCGCCGTCGTACGGCACAGCCGGGACCCTCCGACAGTCGGAGGGAACCGAAGGGAAAGGGCAAAGGCCCTCTCCAGGCACCTGGGTCCCCAAAGGGGGCCACGGATAAGGGCAAGGCGAAGATGGACGCCACTGCCCAAACTAGAAAGGGTGCTCATCCTGACCAGTCCGACCATTGGATCTTAGTTGGGCCCAAGGCCAAGGCCACGGGCTTCCTCCCTAGAGATACTCTTCAGTCGGCCTTCAAGGCCAAACATTCGTTCTTTGCTCCCCTCTCTCCTGAGTCGAAGGATGAGGCTGAGCCTTCCTCTTCGGATCCACACTGTCTCCCAGACCTTGGTCTGTTAGATGATGACGACCTTCTCGTAGATGATTTAGAGCAGCCGGTCACTCTACCCACTGGCCCGACCATCCATTTATCTCCGGACAACATTTGTGATGATGTCCTTTTGCCTGTCC